TAGTCTTATGGAGCAATAAAACGATCCTATAACATTTAGTGTCGAGAAATACATAAGAATTAATTTCTAAGATAGATGACCATCATGAGATTTGAATTCATTCCCTCTCAATTTAAGTAATTTTGTAACTCTTAAAGTTATAAAATTAATCTTCTTAGTTCAAGAAATTCTAAAATAGAAGATGAAACTTCAACTTAACAAAAAAGTAGGTTATAATACTAGTTTAATTCCTGTGCTTTCAGCTTTAGTTCATTTTAATCCTTCTACTTCCAAAATATTTATTTTAGTCCCTACACTTTCAATTTTGGTTCATTATAGTCCTTATACTTTTAAAATATTCACTTTGATTCATGTACTCTTAAAAAATAACCAATTTTGGTTGCTCAAATTTATTCTTAATCTCATTTTTTTTCCTATCACAATTTCAACACTACACTAAAATCAATATATTTCTTAAAATGTATACATCAATTTATTCTAAAGAGTTTCCATTATATGTAAAATTTGTATTAAAATTTTGCAAAGAGAGACTAAAATGATCCTTTTCTAAAAGTAAAGGACCAAAATGAATATTTTTAAAGTACAGAGACTAAAATAAACCAAAGTTTAAAATACAAGGCCCGAAATGAACATTTTCAAAGTACTAAGACTAAAATGAACTAATGATAAAAGTACGAAGACCAAAATAGTATTTTAACAAAAAAAAATAGGTATTTGCATGGATTATTCTTAGCCAATTGCAACGTCTTGATACTTGACGCATGTCAATAAAATTTACTCATAGAAGTCAATAAATAACTCAAATCTTTAACTTTTCCTAATCAGAATAACTTAGAGGTGATTTGTACATGCCCACTCCAGTAAATCAATCACAATAACAATACAGTTTCTTGAACGGAATGTCCCACAATTTCTTGCAGTTTACCAGATCCGCTCACAATCAGGAAATGGGGAGAAATGATATTGTTCAGATTACTGCTGAGGTGACTTCCAGTGAAAATAATGGTGCAAAGAGGTGGACAATTGAGGATTCAAGCTTACTTTCAGTAGCACTAGCACAAATATATCTTTATTTCAATCCAGCATGTCCTTTGCCCGTCCCTATTGAGTAGCACTAGCATTTTCGTCAAGTTCTTAGAGAGAAAAAAAGAGATATAAACATAATCCGAGCAACAAAAGGAGCCAGAAAGGATAACTTTGTAAGATGATTTCCCTTGATGATTAGAAATTAGGCCATAAACAAACCAAGTAGATAAAATGCAAGATTAAACATACTTGGGTGAAAAAAGTGGCATGCAAGATACCTGACTGTTAAAATGAATAAAGCAGAAAACAGTAAGAAGTCATATAATGTTGCAATACCTCTGGTGGCATTCCTTCTGGATCTTCCATATGGTATGAAGTTTGAGAAAATCCTCCATCGCTGGCTCCAGACCTCAATTCTAGATCATTTTTCTTGTCAACAACCAAGTTATCTGACTCTTCGCCCCGTTTGATCACACGAGGAGGAAAACTCTTGGAGTTTAATTCAGTGTCCGAATGCCATCCACGAACTTTTTCATGGTTTTCACTTCCAAGTCTCTCACCTTCCTCATCAGACATGTTATTAGCTTCTTCTAAATAATGCTGCGCAGAAACGTGTTTGCGTAACTCGTTTGAATTAAAAGACAACTTCTGATCATAGTTTGACGAGGCACAGGCTTTATCAGAGGGTGAAGTTGAACCAACAACTTTGCGCATGAAACCATCTGAGACCCCTTTAAACTGGCGTACAATATCATCCACAGCATCATCCACATTGACTGTAATTAAAAATGGTTTGAAATCATCAATGATAGCCAATAACAAAGGAATAGAAGAAACTGTCAAACAATTGTCAGTGGTCATGATTATAACATTTAAATAAACCAAAAGGATAAGGTCGCATGGATACGAAATTCCCTATTATTGATTAGAAATTTATTCTTCAAGGTCTCTCACAGATCCAAGATACTCTTAAACATTTGAGAAGGAATTGGAATTGGAATCTAGGTTTTTGTCCTAACCAATGACATCATCCATTAGAACACTTCCCCTTTTATCAACAATTATTTTAAAATTTATCAGAATGCATCAACACGCAGATGGATACTGCTAGGAAGAGTATACGATGATCATGAAATGATGTCAAGAAAATTTGTGAGACTGCACTTTTTTATAATAGGAACTTAGCTATTTATTCAAGGTAGTTCTACAACACTTCAACTGAGTAAGAATCCCTCAATACTCAAAAAGTTCAACTTTCATAGTGTGACAGAAGAATGGGGATTTTCCTTTTTTTTTTTTAGGATAAAGAATGTGGATTATTCATTGAGTTAACAAAAAAAAAATTTAATTTACTATAAAGGGCCGGATATTCCACCAATCTAGTAACAGAAGCTACAAAAAGACAAGTGATAAAGCCAAATAAATTTCATAGGAAGAGAAAAAGTACAGAGAAAATAACATTAACATTCTTGCAATCAAATTGCAAAGTGTTAGCATGCAAAGAACAATAAGAACAACCACTCACCTGCTAGTGTTCTCATAGTGGGGGAGATTTTCCAAAAGAATAGTTCTGGGGAAAAAAATAATTAAAGTATCAGATAACAGTTAAGTTCCCAATATCATTCCCTTGCACAAATCTAATGATTACAGTAAAAAGTTGAGCAAATCCTTGAAATCTGGATGTCTTTCTATGATAATGAGTCCATAAAATTAAAAGACGATGTTTGGAATATTTTTAACTTATTAAAATTGACACTAACCTAAAAGATAAAATTTTGGAATTAATGAAAATATGATATGATATGAAAGTAGTAATCTTGAATATAAAGCTTGGAATTGTAATCTCATCTGGATTTTAAAATTAATAGCACACAAGCGAGACCTTGTTAATCAAAGGAAATTCAGGACCATGAAGGGTTAGAAATAATATAACTAAAGTAAAGGGGCTGACTACCTTTGAGGAAACACTTAAAAAATCCCATACTTATGCTGCTCGGCAACATTTGCAATTGATAATAGCTCCTGGGTAATAAAATGCACAGTAAAGCAATCAGGATGCATTATAAATTTTGAAAAGCTACAAGTTAATTGATGAACAACAATGACTACATATAAGAAAGTATGAAACTACGGAAAATCAATAAATACCTGCAAATATTTGTCAAGCTGAATGCAACGTTGGTGAACAGAAGCATCCTCTGTGCTTGACGAAAATATTTGTTTGGGAGGCAGGTGCAGTGTATAGTTAGGAATATCTTTAAGATGCCAATGTAATCGCTCAAAATTTCGATATCTGAAAAGATAAGTACAAATAAGACAAGAATGAAGGTGAATATAGACATGTAACTTAAATTAAAATGCTCGAGGAATTCTCTCAAATCTTGAGGTACTAAAGATCATTCAATTTCAAAACGAAATGACCTCAAAACAAAATGATCAAACACAAATTATATGAAGCACTTGAATGTCAAGGAATCTACAAAAACCACTAAAGTTCTTTGACATCGTTCAATATTTCAGTTAGGAATATCAGGAAGATACCTTCTCTTGACAAACCAAGTTTTGTTATTTGCATCTGTAACGCTATTGAATACACGGCAAAAGATTTTGAATCGAGTTTCTCAAAGTATGCGCCCATTACTGACAAGAAGAACAAAATTGGTAAAGCACTTTATCAGTAAACAAATTACGCACAAAAACAAAAGAATGAACCCACTCACCCGACTCCTAAGCTTGGGAACAAGCAGCCCTTCTTTTTGGACCACCATAAACCAAGACAACCTTCCAAACATGAAGGTTTGGATGCAGGCGCTCCATGAAAATTCTTCCAAATTGATACTCTATGAGTTCCCATTTTCAACTGGATTATCAAGTTTGGTAATACCGTCAATCAATGAGAGATAAGTGCTGTCATCAGGTCTGATTCCTTTACTGACCATTTCTTTAAGTAGCTGTTCAGCATGATCACCGTCTTGGTTTTTGCATAACCCTTGTATAAGGGCATTGTAAGTGAGAAGAGTGGGATTGAATCCTGTGTTCAACATCTCATCCCGTACTCGGAAAGCATCCTTTATGTCACCTCGTCTACTATAACCACTTATTAGAGTATTAAAACTAACATGGTCGGGCTTAATTCCCCTTCTCTTCATGTCGTCAAAAAGTTCACGGGCTTCTTCAACTTTCCCCTCCCTACAACGCCCTTGCATGATGGTATTGAAAGTCACTTCATCAGGAAGAACCTTCATCCTATCCATATCTTTCAAAAGCTCAAATGCACGCTCCACATTACCATTAGAGCAATAGCCATCAATCAGGGCATTAAACATAATAACATCGGGCAACACACCTTTACTTGTGATCTTATTAAACAACTCATTGGCCTCCTTTATTCTATTCTTTTTGCTCAAAACATGAATAAGTGATGTGTATGTCACTTTTGTTGGCCAAATACCGCTAGTCAACATCTCATCGTGGAGGCTAAATGCTTTCTTTACATTTCCACATCTACAATATCCATTTATCAAGATATTATATGTAATAGCATCAGGAGCCATTCCGTTCTCCTGAATTTCTTTCATCATTCCTTCAGCTTCATCAATTCTTTGCTCCATAAACAATGCATGAATCAGCAAATTATAAGTTGACACTGTCGGCTTTATGCCCTTCTTCAACATCTCATCCTTATAAGCAAAGGACATCTCCAAATTCCCCTTACTGCAAAATCCATCAATTAGAGTATTATAAGTTACAGCACTGGGAAGCAGCCCATTCTGCACCATTTCTTCAAAAATCTTAGATGCTTTTTCAAGTCTTCCTTGCTTACACATCCCACCGATAAGAGAACCATATGTGTAAGCATCAGGTTGAATCTTTTTCCTCTTCATGGTATTCAGAATACCATCAGCCCCTTCGACTCTCCCTCTCGAACAATATCCGTGAATTATCGTATTATAAGTAACGACGTTCGGTTTAACACCTAAGCTCTCCATATGCCCAACAAAATCCTTGGCCTTCTTCAGCTTCCCTTCCTTACACAGAACATTGATCATTATGTTAAATGTATAAACACTAGATTTTATCCTCAACCTAAACATCTCAGCATATAAAACCCATGCGGCCTCGGTTCTATTCAACTTCAGAAACAAACTCAGCAACTCATTGCAGGTCTCAATCTTGGGTGCAACACCCTTCTCCTTCATCATGTAAAAACACTCGAAACCCTCATCTGCCCTATTCATTTCACAACAAGATTTAACCAAGTAATCAAAAACAATACTACTTTTAACACCTAATCGGTCACGAGAAATCGCCAACATTTCAAAGATCTCCCTAACTGAAGTAGTACCACTGCCAACAGCCAGTTTTAGAAGCTGTAAAGAGGGCCTGGGAGATGGAAGACGAGCAACAATGACAATGGCAAGGCAACGGGATTCAGCGTCAATTACGCCATGGTGTAAGTGGTTTAACAAATCAAGAACAATCTGCGGAGTTTCATGGAGATTTTGAAGGGTTTGGGAGATAAGCGACGGAGTGAGATTGGGTACAATCTGTTTGATTAAATGCCACTGAGAGGACCGAGCCGATTCCTCGAGGAAATTATGGGTCAGAGGCAAAATGGGGTTTGTGGGTATGTTGGGAGATTGAGACAGAGTTTCTTGTGGGGTCTTCTGGAGAGAAATCGAAGAGAAGGGGGCGAAGGAGTGGCAGTGAGTCGTTGTTTTGAAGTTCAGAGAAGAACGGTTCAGAAATTTGTAAGGATTCATGTTTGATTTAGCAGATGGTTTCAGAAAAGAGAGAATTTTGTTACCTGAGCCGGAGATTCTGAACTTGTTGGCTGAGACTGAGAGGCAGAAACTGGGAAGGAGGAGGCTTTCTTGCTTGTTTTATCTGTGCAGGCTCTTCAGATTTAGAACATCGATTTTCCAGAAATGGTCATGTAAGTATTTATAGGTTAGGGTTTTTTTATTTAAATAAAAAAAATACATTACGGATTAAATCAAGGAAGGGAAAAAAGTAATTACAGCATAAAATAAATATAATATATTTTAAAAAATAGAGTATAGAGTTTAAAATTTTAAATTTTAAATAAATAGCATAACTCAATTAAAGTCTTTTAACTTACCTATGAGGTATTATGTGAAGCATACTAAGAAAAGTCAAAATTATGTTATATTTAAAATAAATTGAAAAGTTTTGATATTTTTTAAAATAATTTTAATTTTATGTCGTTGGAGTAGAATTAAAAAAAGGAAAAACCAAATATATCAAATAACCTTTAATTTTTTAGCTTTCCTCGTACTTAATCTTTTAAAGTTCTCAATTTTATGTTTAATATATTTAAAAAAAAAACTCAATTAAACATGTCGTAGAAATAATGGTTAAAATTTGTTGACATAAAGTTAACGGATCACTAAATTATTGTTTTATTAATATATTTAAACATATAGCACTAGGACATGCTGCTAGAAAAGAAAAAGGATCTTTTTGTTTTAGCAGGTGAGATTTACCGATGGATGTTTTATGTATCAAAGTTTTATGAATAATATGAATACGTGTCTAAATGTACTAATAAAAATAAAAAGTAAATATTTCTTTTGAAAAATAACGATTTATCAAATATTTAATGGTGGGAGGACAAGGTTGGTCCTCACTTGTGAGAGCCAAATATTCTCCATAATTTAATTCAGGAATAAATATATTCTCAATTCAATTGGAAAGTATTTCAATAAATTTCTATTATGTCATTGTTAAATTAAAATTTTATTTGGATGGTGTTTGAAACTCTCAATCTCTTGGTCTGAGATAGGTGCTACGATCAGTTGAGCTATATCCAAATTAACAAATTGATAACTTCGTTGCTAAAGAATAGTAGAGATCACGAAATATATCTTATTAATATTCGTTAAGGTATACCATGCTTTATAAAAGATCTAGTATTCAAAATGCCTCTTTTTCGTAATTCTTCTATTGAATTGCTATTGTGAAACAATATGGATTCACTAGCAGAGTATGGAGAACTCATTCAAGAATATCAGTAATAATCTTTTTATGACGTTTTCATTACTAACAGTTTCTTTATGACTCATTGGATAACATTTCTATTTCTTGTTTTCGTTGCTTTTTTTTCCCCGATAAATGAATACAAAACTATATTTGATATTTGTTTCTTTTTTTTACAAAAAAGAATATAAATATATTTCATAACCATTTTTTGTTTATCATCCTCTAAATTCTAAAATTAAAAAAGTTAATTTTTTTTATTATAAGTTAAAATTTTTAATTTTTATGTTACATTTATTTTTTCTAATATGTATTATGCACTTTATAAGTCAATGATGATAAAATAATACATCAACATGAACCTACTCATTATCTTGAAGTCGAGGGTTTGAACCCCCAATTTATTGTATTATAATAATAAAAAAAATAAAATAATACTTTTATTTATAGTTAAAAAGATGGAAACGAGAAAAGGAAAAAACAAGAAACTTGATTTTGTTGTTTCTAAACCATTTTGTTGTTTCTGAACGTTCTACACAATTTTAGATGTTTCTTTCGTGAAATAGAAACAATTATTAAATACTTATGTTTCTCAACAACTAAAAACAAACTTTTACATCCATTTGAAGAGAAGGCAATGAAGTTCTAAAGCTTTCTTTGGCGTATTTAGTACAACATGTGGGAGTAGAAAATCGAGAGATCGAACTCACAACCTGTTAGTTGAAGATATATGCCAATTATCATTAAGCTATATTTGCTTTGACACAGAGAACGTTTTTTTGAAACAATGTTCAGCATGCTGTTCACGAAGACAAACGAGAACTGACGCAACAAAGAAACCATGTCACTACCAAGCAACCAAAAGATAAATACATCGTTCGGGTTTTTCATCCATCTTATGTATGAAAGTTCTCTCCACTGTCAGATCATGGAGGTATTCGAATTAGTGAGGGAAAAGATCAAGAATCTATAAAAAAATTTGAAGGAACAAAAACAGTAATTCGACGCCTTTTCACGCATGCCACTCTCACTCTACCTTCCTCTATTTCCTATATAAATTCTGGAAAAGAAAAAAATGAAATAGAGAAACTATAATACCAACGAACACCTCAGAATCAACAATGGCTGACAAAATTTCATCTGCAACAATTGCAGCTGCTGTGGTGACACCATGACTAGCGATCGAGCACTCTGCAAAAGGAAGCATATATAGTGAAGAGAATAGAAATTTATAGACAGACAAAAACTATTCCTACTACGTAAAATTGATAGAGTTCAGAGCATCTCTCTGTCATTAACACACTTCTGCAACAAAATTAATAGACACTTGTACTGATAACATATCTATGGTCACAAACTAAACACCAAAAACTTTGAGGATTAGATATATTATTGTGTGTGGTCTAGACTAGATTCAATCAGAGCTACTTCCGGAATTTTCATATCCTAAAGTGGTCAGAGATGTTAACTCGGGAGTGATCGACGAGGCTATAGATACAGTGTACCGACAATGATAAAAAATATATTCTTACATGGTTAACCCTTTGAGATACATGAATATAAAGGTTGCGTAATACTCAAAAAGAAGTATGAATTTTCGCCATATTATCTCTGAACATTTTATCACAGAGAAGAGCTGGCAAAATTGACCATTATAATTTCCACATTGCACCATTTAAAAAGTAAAAAGAAGGGTTAAGTGAAACTATCCAAAGAACAGAGGTAATACAAATTACTAAAAGTAAAAGTACAGAAAAACTGCCACGGATTTCCTTCCCATATAACATAACTTCTAAAAGTTGATGCAACAGCATCAAAGAATATAGTTGCAGGTTGTCCCATTCATCATAATCATTCTCTAGCTAATCTGGAACAGTGATAATAAAAAGTCTCACAGTGAAGCTAGGCCTACCAAGAGTGATGAACTGGTAATATATATTGAACGGAGGGAAAAAATAGAGATGTCTCCTACGTTATCCATAAAATGTGGAAGCCCCTTCATCATAATCATTCTCTAACCAATTTAGAGCAGTAATAATAAATGGCCCGTTTGGTAACTTTCACATTTCTTGTTTATTGTTTCCAATTTTATTAAGAAACTTAAGCATTTGACAACTGTTTTTTTTTAGAATCGGGAGTCGGAGCTTTGCTCCCCCTATACTCGGGGGTCACCCCAAAACTCGGATCCGGGAAGCATCTGACAACTATTTATATTTCTTGTTCTCACTTTTTAGAAACATTTTCAAAATTGTATAGAAATTTTGAAAACAACAAGTTTCTTTTTTCTTGTTCCCGATGTCCCGTTTCCAATTTTGTTCCAAAATATAAATAAAAATATAGTTTTATCATTCTTGAATCTGAGCATTAAGGTCATGAAATTCTATTTTTATTCATTAAAAGTGAGAAAATATAAACAGAAACGGAAACATTACCAAACAGGTCCAAAGAGTCTCATAGTAAAGCTAGGGCCAACCCAGAGTAACGACCTGGTGATCTATATTGATCTAAGTATACAACCAAACAAATAAAATCATCCTCCTAGGGTGCGTGAGGATCCAACATATTCTGTTTTTCCAGTCCCAAAATGAAAGTCTGCCCATTCCCAACAAACTAAACACCAAAACTTAGAGGATTATATATATTATTGCGTGTGGTTTAGATTCAATCAGAGCTACTTCCTCTTTTTTTCAACCTTCAAGTCGTAGAAGTTAAACGAGGTATAGATACACTGTATCGACAATGACCAAAGAGATGCCTTACATGGTAAATCCTTTCAGACTTGATGGACAAAAACAAACACAATTCGTAATGCTTTCAGAAAAACATACATATTCACAAACTCATCTCTCAAAAATTTATCACGGGCCAGAGGAGACAAACCAGTTAAACTAGTTAACAAACCAATTGGACATTTATCATGCTAAAGCTACGCCTACCCATAGTTCTAAATTAGTATGTTATGTGAAAATTGAAACTAGGCAATATAACTAACCAATCGAAATCATCCTCCTGGAGGGTGGGGGAAGCAACATATTCTATATTTCCGATCCCAAAACAAACGCCTGCTCCAATTCACAATTCATAACCTCTTAGATTCTAAATTTCAAAGAAAATCCAGGTTCAGACGCAACTATCGTTGCATCCTCACGACGAATTTGACATCGAATAATATGGACGCATAAACAAGGTAACTTCATAAGCGTTAAAAATTGAAGCTCAGCCTAAGAGGAACCACCAAAAGCATCTCAAAAGGAACGAAGAATAACCATCCCTGTCCGAATATTCCGGCAACAATAAATAAGTTAATAACCTGATTTCTCAAGCGACGACGATAGGCTGTTGTTTGGAGGGCTGAATTCCTTTGTTATTCTTCTGATCAGAATCTCCAAGAAAATCTTCCATGTTGTAGATGACTGTGATGTAAAGAGAGCAGCTAGGGCACCGAGCAATCTCTTCGCCGAGCCTAAGATCCTCCTTCGTGATCTGGAACAAGTCGCCGCAGGGGCATGGGTAAGTGTAGGCCTGCAGTTCCTGGTTCCACTCCATATCTTCTATCTCCACGTCATCGTAGGACATCGTTTCTCCGGTGGATTCGGCCGATTTTGCGGCGACGGCGAGTCTGCAACCGCCGAGTTCGGAGGTAGACGAAGAAGATTGACGAAGAGCGAGGGATTTCGGGTTCGTTTGGACTCTCAATTCCGAGAGACCGCGTCCGATTTAGGCTTTCTTATTAAATAGAAATAACAAACAATAAATATGTATTTTCAAATATTTTAGAGACTTTCAATTTGTGATAAATATTAAAGGCGATTCTGAATTTATTAATCAATCTTTAGAATTTCTCAATTAGATTCTACTTAAAAAAAAATCTTTTAACATTGAAATTGATAAATCGTTAAGCTATTGTTTTATTTATTAACATGCTCAAATACGTGATCATACCACTTGAATAATATTTGATACATGAAATCGAACTCGTCCATTAAAAAAATTCAACCTTCAAATCGTTCTTAGAGGAAATTGCGTACTAGGGGTGGGGGTTTACGACATGCGGTTGCTCCTGTCGGGCCCCAAAGTCAGTGGTCGTTCTTGAGGTGGGATTCCTCAGGTCGGCAGTGGTGTCTATCTCCATCTCAGCTCGGTACCGACTAATGATCCATCGGGTTCTAATCGTCCGTTTTCTGATATATGATGCTCTGAACTGATTTGGTACTTACACGTGTCCGTTCTTATTTTGATCACCAACCCAGCCCACCAATTAACAAAGTCTTTTTTTCTTCTTAGTAGCAAGTTCATGTCAGATAGCATGCCCATGTGTCAAAGAAAAATTTTAAAGGTTAGAAACCATTTAGTATATTTAACCTTTTATAAAAGTGCATTAACCAAGTCAGATTCAAGACGCAAATAGTCGAATGTAATATTAAGTATAAGTCACAGTGTCGCAATTGCATTATGGGAGAAAAATAAAAAGTTGTGCCATTTTTTAATAATTATATTAAATTTGTGTTATAGAGGGAAATTTTTCTATGAGACATTTATAAAGTTCTATTTTTGGAAAATGCAACTTGGGCATATATTGTGGCATTATTTCTAATCATTTGCAAAAAGGAAATATAATTTAAATTATTATCTCTAATTTTATTTACATTTAAAATAACTACAAACATAGCCAAATAAAACTTAGCAATTAGGTAGCCAAAGCGAATACAATTCAACAGTAATTGACATATATCTGCAACCAAAGAGGTTGTAAGTTTGACACCGATTAATAATGCGATGGGAGAAGTTTCTCTTTTGTCATTTTTTTCATCAATGCTGGCCTAGTCGAGGCTCGTCCATGCCCAACCTAATGGACAAACCTTTGATCCGATCTGCCCCTAGCTCTATAATCCACCTGTTTCCCTAGTCCCTGAAAGCCGTCCTCTCCTGAGTCTAGCCCTCTTTCTCAACTCGAGTCTGAAGTTCAGCGGCTTTCATCGTTGACGAACACCTGCGCTAATAAGACAAAGAAGTGGGGGTCTATGTCTTTCTTGAATGAATCAATAACAACTCATTAGTGGAACGAGGAATCAAAGAGACACATAGGGTGGTTCCATCTCACATGTTGTACTAAAAGAACTTAGCAATTAGGTAAATAATCTATTTCTTCCATCCAAATTATTTTTAGATGTATCAATTAACTAACCTAATTTTAAGTATATCATAAGTAAATAACATACTTTAAAATAATTATTAGTAGTTTGTTTCGACCTAAATTAATTTTAAATGAACTTACGAAAATATTGGGCTTAAAGGTAATGAGTTCAAACCATAATGTTCACTTTGAATTTGTGCGAATTTTCTTGACAACAAAATGTGATAAGATCAGTCATCGTAAGAGTAGTCGAGTTGCATGTAAGATAACTTGAATAATCACGAATATTTAAAAAAAGAAACTTGAACTTTCTATCCTCCTTGAACATAACTATTAAGCTAAGTATTCGATTCCTTCCGTGACCGAAGCATATAGAGATTATATGTGTTTTTAACAAGATTGAAATTATATGTATTTTAAGATAAGATTAGAGAAGGTTTGTGATTGATTTTGACATGGCTAAAATCACTTTTATTATTATCAAATACGTAAGTTACTTTAAGCTTTAAGTTGACTCTTGGTTAAATAATTAATAAGAAATTAGTTTTTGAATTACCTTATAATTCTATTTCAAGCTAATAATTTAAAAAAGAAATTACAAATTTAAGATAGAATAAAAAATAATATTAAAAAATTAACAAAATACTGAACTAAAAGTAATTTTCCAAACTATTGACAAAAGTATGATACTTTGATCCTCGCAGCCAATGTACACGATTTACAGATGGATCTAATATGATTGGTGGATGTGAGTTGGATACGTTTACATAAAACTGACATACAGGCTCATGTGCAATGCGAGGCTGGGATGAGAGGGGATTGGGGTTGACTAGGAGAAATTTTACCTCCGGTTGAAAATGAGGAGAAATGAAGGTGGGTCTAGTTTTTTAGACCACTATGCACACAAGTTTGGAGAAATCGTGTGCTTCTGTGTCAAGCATCGTGGTTTCAATTTGGCAAGTTGGAGTCATGTCGCGACGAAATCACGTCCAACGAATACAAGTTTTGTACTCAGCTAGTCTACTTTTGAAATTATTTTCCAAACTACCCCATTTTTATTTATTTGTAATTATATTACTTTAAAAAACTTCCTTCTATTTCACCTCATTTGTGCATACAATCCTTACTTTTTCCTTTCTAAACTTCTTCTATCTCTCTAACTACTTTAGCTCCAAAATTTTTTGTACCTCTCAATTTCTCTTCCTAACTTTCTTTCTCTATCTAATTTTTTTCTCTCTTTTAAATTTTTGTAGCTCTAGTTTTTGTTTTTTAACTACAACTTTTTCCTCCCTTCAAACGTTTATTACTCTCTAATTTTTTCTATTATTTTTGTCTCTCTGTTCTAGAAACGATAACCATTATTTTGACATATTTACTCATTTGTTTTATTATATAGTTTTTATAAACACTTCTAAAATATAGGTCAAATTTAAAAACAATAAAATGTAGTTTTTGTTTTTTGAAATTTAACAAAAAAAAAATAAAATAAAATACCTTTTTGTTAAAAAACAAGCATAATTTTAAACAATAAAAAGTAGTTTTTGTTTTTTGAAATTTAACAAAAAAAATTAAAATACCTTTTCGTTAAAAAGCAAGCATAATTTTAAAAAAAATATTTGACTCCTAACGAGTGAGAAAAAGTGACAATAATACAGGAATTCGAACTCCTACTCTGATAACATTTTAAAAATAATAAATAAACTACCCCTCAATCAAAATAACCTAATAATTAGATAAATTTAATTAATTTATACGGGCGTTCGAGATTAGAATATTCTTTGGGCCAAAAGGTATAAACCGTGTGCCAAATTCAGAACTGTGTGCGCCTCCGCTTACAGTTACACACAGACTCCCTCGCCCTCGCCTTCACATCTCTATCTCTTCTCTCCATCCTTATAAATCCAATCAATTCACCATCCCATTTCAAAGATCCATTTCAATTTCTATCTCGATTTCCTCCTGCGTATGAAGATTTCGCCCACTCTGGAGATGTGTATGACGGAGCTCGCCAACTTCCGAGATCGACTCGGAGCAGCTTCTTCCACTTCCACGCGGTTCTTCCCCAGCCTCAGAGACAAACAACCACCGATTCGCGGACAAAAATCGGTGGAGTCTTCCGCTGCGACACACAGCGGAGCTGCAATCGATGATCGGAAGGAGGTGATTCTCTCGGAATCCACCATTTTTTTGCTCATCGATCGGTTTATCGCCTGGTGACGGCGGATTGCGAGGCCTAGGGTTTGTAAGGTAATGTAATGTAATGTAATGTAAATTTGGTTTGTGTAATTTCGATTTTCATTTTCTCTGCCATGGAAGAGCCGAAGGTTTCAGAGATTTTGCTCCCGATCCCTTCGCGATTATCTATATATCTCAAATTAAACACTTCGCTTCACCTGATTTTGTGCGTGGATTTTTTTGCCTCAAACTCAAAATTGCAATATCGCATGGCTTTTCTCAAATTTATATTCACTTTTTTTTTTCTTCATACATAAATATTATTTAAGTGAGAAATGAGAGGATT